GTCTGATGCTGGAGATTCTATACGTTCATGTTAGATTTCTTGGGTATTATATTCAATTTAAAAAACCACAAGTAAATGAATAGTGCTTTAAAAATTGCCCTTATTTTTAATTTGCTAATACATGTAGACTGAATATCTTTAACCCATCCTAGAGCAGAGTAACAGCTCTAATGGACACCCTTGAGTCAACACCCTTGAATCAATAAACTTGATTAATTGGTACAAAAAGATAACATGGATTCTGTACATGTTTTCGCTAGAATGTTTCGAACATTCACATTTTTCAACATAAAATTCTTCAACACAAAACCAAACCCTCAAATACAAGCATATTTGCTTATGCTAACCATAACCACCCTGGTGATAAAATATACAGATAGTGAAAGTGTTACTTGAATGGCAAATATATTTAAATATAGGGCAATCTATAGGAAAAGATCTAGATCCCCTAGGAACCTAAACCATGCCCAGAAGATGTAATTTCACATATATATGTATATGTGTTTTCAAATGTTTATTGTTACTTCCAAGAAGGAATGTAGGTCCTTCAGGGAGAATTATTTTTTCCAGAGCATATGTTAGTAGATTCAGTTTAGTGGCCAGCCAAATCAATGAAGATTATTTAACTTGATTCTTATTTTATCTCGTGTAACCTCAGCCATAACAGGCATACCATCTTTCTGGTAACTTCTAAATACCCTTAAGGGACCGAGGGTTCAAATGAGGAGCATCTTCACAACTCATTAAAAACAAATCCTTGAAGCATAATGTTATAATTCATATTCTAATTCAAAACTGCCACAACAGAAACCTCCAGTCCATAGAGGAGACGTGGAGTATACTGAGAAACATTCTCTGTGTCTAACTGGAAGCAGCAGAAGTTCATTAGTCTGCCTACCAGCTGGCAATGTTCTGCTGATTAAGATTCAACCTCAGTCTAAAAATACGGAACAAACTCTTCCTTATTAGGAATTGCTTCGTGATTTCTTATCAAGTTGCCAACCTTTACCTGTGTTGTAGTTATTACTGTATTTATTATACCATAGTTATCACGGTATTACTGACAGAATTCTGAAAGAATGAGTCTTCCATCATCTTATCCTATTAACTTTCCTACTTGGTTTCTTCAAGAAATAAGCAGGGGCAGCTGAGGTTGGACTTTACAAAGGCCGAAATACAGCTGTAGGTTAGTACCCTGTTTGGTTCAGTCATAAGGAAAGATCATCTCAGATTATTTCTCCCTCCCAAGCAGGGTTTTGCAAGCTGAGCATTTCTTAGTATGAAAACCAGACAACTCAAGCATACAGGCACCTTATGAAAAGTAAGTACTGACTCTTTTTTATTTTAGCAATATTTATTGGTTTCTTTGACACACAAAATCCCAGTAGTGAAAGTAGTTTTTTTACTTTGCAAGAACTAAACAAATTAATTTATTTTTTTTGTTGCTATTTAGATAACTTTCTAAGTTGACATCAAAGTGTAAGGAAATAAAAGCTACCTGCACTTAGAGATCTTAAAGGGAGCATATCTGACTTTAGTTCTTATTATAGTCAGATACATTAAGCACAGAGATTACTCTGTTCTCATGGAAGTGCATTTGGCAACACCCCTATACACACTGTCACTACAATAGCACCGCCAGCCCTAAAAGAATGCCTACATTGTGTCATATCAATGTAGACTGACCACACTGGCCTCTTCCCCACGTTATCTATCCCCTGTGTCCAGGTGACCACCTGAACTCAGCAGTTCATTAAAGAGCCCATTACTGGCTCTTGAGGATGCTGCAAGGCAAAGCTGGCACGTTCAGCGCCAAGCGCAATGTTGAGAAGCAGGGAATTAGCACGCTAGCTTCATTCAGGCTCTAACTTCTATATGCAGAGCCTAACTTGGAGCTGACTACCAACACAGTGTAACAGAGGACACCATACGCCGTAACAGATGTTTCCAGCTGGCTCTTACAGCAGCATTATAAAAGTTACCACTTCATATTGCACAAGCTTCTGTAGGCTCGACAGATATCTGTCTGGGTGTCACTCTGACTTTGTCCTGGACCTCTGCACACAACTATTTATCCTCTAGTATTCAAAGCACATTGTTTTATTCCAGGTGGCAGTAAGGAGCGCAGGAGCAGGGACAAAAGAGGCATGATCCTGATTTCAAATTGTTTCTTCCTGGTACCAGAGTCCCATCACGGTGCTTCTGACTGCAGTGTGTGCACAGGGCATGTCCCTTAGGAGCAATTTCCCCAAAAGCATACCAAAGAACAACATCTGAACAATTGACTCAGTCCTATCACAACATTTTCCAGTCCTTTGTGGAGTTTGAGCAAGGACAGGCTTGGAAGTATGACTTAAGGGCCCAGACTGCCTGAGATAACAGCACAGACACTGTATCGGTCTCATGAATGCAATTAAAAGGATGGAAACTGCTCTTGCAGTTATCAGTAACCACTGAATCTAAAGTGTAGAAAGCAGATAAAATGGGAATTGAATTCCTGCCCAAGAAGTATTCTGAGAACCAGATGAGAAATGCCATAAATGAGCGGCCAGTTCTGCCAGTCTTGAATTCTTTGTTGCACAGCTTCCAAGGAGAGGGGAACACGTCACCGTTCAGTCCACAGGTGGGTCAGAGGTGGGCATTATGGCTTTGAATCACTTCTGGAGAGACGTGAACCTCAGCAATTATACTACCATAACAACTGTATAACCACCACGTTGTGGAAAAGATTGCCTCTTCCAGCTCCATTTCAGAAAGAAAATAAACAAAAATCTTCTCTGACAAACACAGTCCTGCCAGTATGTCAAGCGTGTTCTGAGCATGCCTATGGGATCGGGCCCCTCAGGGGATATGGCAGACAGGGGAACTGAATATGCCCAACCCTTAGGCAGGTGATAAGATGAAAATTGTTCAGACTGAGGCAGTTCTGTACATGCACAGGAGCACAGCTCAGCATTTAAGGAGCTTTAGAGTAATAACAGAACACACCTACAGAGCCAGCTGTAGGCAACACCCGAATAAAAGGCATTTTAGGGGGTAAGCTGGAATATAGTCACCTGTACCATCAGACTTCACTGTAGATATTGTCTCTATTTCTGGTTCACTATGTCTTAATGCATTTACATTATATATATACACTGTAATTTCCTTCATGTCAAGCAACAAACAAGCTGGCCACCAATCAATTATTTTAAAATTTATGCCATAACGGTGAAGAACACTAGCAATTTTTTTGCAGGGGTGGGTGGTAAGAGAAATCTGTGAGGAATATTTCATGAGTTGAGGTGGGAAAGAGATAGATGGAAACCCATTTTAAAAAGAGTTTAAGGAGTCAATGATTAAAATTATCCAAGAGGAGAGTGAGAGAAAAGCTGAGAAGTGAATGGGAAATACTAGAGTAATATGAGAACAAGGGAGGGAAAGTAAATGGAAGAAGAAATAAAAGATTGATGACATTCTTCGTCCTTTTACTATAAAAGATTGTCTAGATTTCTTATTAAAAAAAGCCTAAACATCATCAATATTCTTCGACAACTACAGCCTGCTAGGAAGGGATGGGATCCCCCTGTCTAGAAGAGGCAAGGGAATCTTTGGCAGCAGGCTGGCCAACTTGGTGAGGCAGGCTTTCCAATGACATCTGTCACCCATTATTAGGAAATAACCAGAATAGTGTTATTAGTACCTGCACCTACACACAAGACCCCATGAAGAACAGATGGAGCTGATCTTAAAAAAAAAAAAGTCCTAACTCCTTCTGTTTTGTGCATTGGACTTGATATTATTTGTTACCAAGAAGGCGGCGGTAGCTTGTAATACATGTAAGTTGCTCATCAATGAGTTGCAGATGGGTCATGTTGTCCATGGTGGTATCTCACTGTAAGACCTTTCACGTTTTCCTCCTTCGGGCAGTTTCTCTACTAAAAGCTGGGGCATAGAGTTCTGGGTGTGAATGACAGAGGAGAAGAATCACTTTTCTTCCACAGGGTCTTTGCTTTTGTGGGCAGATTGCTTATTTGCCATTACAGACTGCCTTTGTGGGTTTAGGTCATTTAGGTGAATAGAGTACAATACAGGTTTTGCCAGTATGGCTCAACTGTCTCCTAATGGACTATATTAACTATAAATTATATTAGAAAATGTCATCACTGAATCATTATTCCTTTGCAAAATCAGCAAGATTACTCAGAGGTCATACACTCTTTCTAAAACTTGACTTCCAAGCTAAAAATTATAAAGAGGAGCTTTACTGATATTCTCATAATTTCTTTCCTGTATTCCACCTTTTTCCAAATAACCATGTTATCACTACTCAGCTTTTTTCTCCCTTTTTTTCCTGCTATTATTTGATACTCACACATCTCCTTTTTTCTTTCACACATCCTCTATTTCTTTTCTCGGCTATTCAATGCTCATCTCTCCTCATTCATAGTTTACCTTTCCCATAAAGATTAAAACACTTTCAGTGAAAATATTCTACTATAGGGCCACTCCTATCTTCTTCCTTCTGTTGGCTCTCTCAAAAACCAGTCATGTTCTTGGAGAGCTACTGTGACTCTACACAGGTAGACATTACACTTTCCATTAGCAGAAGCTGTCCTTGACCATAAACATAAACGAGGATCCTTCTTGGGGCCAAAGAGCTAAGTAGCAGGTCCAAAACTGGTAAGAGAGAGTTCCAGGAGAGGAGCTGGTTCTTGGGGATGCTGAAAGAGAAGAAAAGTTTGCAAGGCCCAGAGAGGCCTACATGGGATGACAGAATTAGGTATGATTTATTTCCTTTTCTGGATATAGGAACAGAGCCACAAATGTACTTAGTTGCCTCATAACCAAGGTAGATGCCCACAGGTCCTTGGAATCACCAAGAAACAAGCGTTTAGATAAAAATTAATATATATAAAAGTCAATAAAAGCAGGAGTACCCTAAATACACCTGCAGTCTGGACCTACTCCTCAGTGCCTGAGCTTCTTGGTCTTATTCAAAGCTGGTCTACATCTGAAAGTTGATCAGACAGCACAGCCACCACTCAGTTAATATATATATATATATATATATATATATATATACATGCATGTATGCATATAAATAATATATGCTATACAGACTCTTTGGACTGTATTCACACCAGGTATTACAGGTGTAAAATTTATCACCGAGTTATCTGCCTCCCTATGCAATCCATGAACAGCACTAGTTATAACACCTAAGTAGGTAGAGCAAGTAGCGTACATATGATCAGTAGTGATGGGGACACATCCCAGGCCATCTTGTTCTTTGCATACTTATTTTATCTGTTTTAGAATACCTCTTAAAGATACCCCCTGTCCTAACGTGTCCTGACTTCCTCCAGTTTGGTTTGTCCTATCCCATTTTCACCAATCCACAGAAACAAAAACACCAAGAAGGAGACTTTATGGTGGCCTTTCAGTACGGAAAGAGGGCTTATAAGAAAGATAGAGACTTTTTTACCAGGGCTTGTAGTGATAGGACAAGGGACAATGGTTTTAAACTGAAAGAGGGTAGATTTAGATTAGATATGAGGAAGAAATTCTTTAGGGTGGTGAGACACTGAAACAGGTTGCCCAGAGAAGTCCTGGATGCCCCATGCCTCAAAGTGTTCAAGGTCAGGTTCGATGGGGCTTTAAGCAAACTGATCCAGTGAAAGATGTCCCTGCCCACAGCAGGGGTTTGGCTGAGGTAATCTTTAAAGGTCTCTTACAACCCAAACCATTCTATGATTCTATGACTCTATGAATAATTTCCTTTCAAAATTTTTCCATAAGCAGTGAGCTGGCACCTCAATGAAGGAAACTGATCAAGCTGATTCAAGAGTTACTTCTCCCTAATCTAGAGGCCCAGTTCATCACTGGCTCTTATTCAGAGATTGAGAGCAGGAAAAATAGAAGTTCATGGTTAGGAACAAGAAAAAAAATGTATCTTTAATCCACTTTCCCACCCATTCTTACTGAAGTTATCTTTGCCCATCTCCCGAGTTTTTGTGCCAGAAGGCACACACACACACACTGTTGGTCTGTGCTGACTCTTTGCAGCCGCTGTCTGGTGAAGAGGTTCCTTTTGAGAGCTGTCAGTTTCTATCCGTGCAGATACGCTTCAAGCCAGTGCTCCCCAGAATCCTTCAGTGAACTGCAAGAACAGAAAGTAAAAAAATTGCTTATAGGGAGACAATATTCAACTTCATGGGAAGCAAACTGTAGTTTAGATGTAAAAAGAAGTAAATTGAAAAGCTGCACTAAAAACTGCATTGACATCTCATAGTAAAGTCTGACTACAGGGCATGAACTGAAAGGATTTAAGTAAGAGAAAATAATCTTTGAAACTTTGAAAATTTTTGAAATTTAAAAGTGCTTTTAGAAAAACCTAAATAAACTCTAGGTTTGCTCTCTCCATGAATATTGATTTGAAATGGTTGCCTATGTCCCCCACTTGTGTGCTATTACAGTGCAAAGCTATCTTCTTAATGGATACTTACTGCAAAATATCTACAAAGGCTGTTAGTAAAGTCTTGCTTTTATACTGAATGCCATGCTTATCACAAAGGGCTTTCACCAGAGGAGCTGCTTTCCAGTAGTTGTGTCGAGGCATTGTGGGGAAAAGGCTGCAGAATTGAATGAGAAATAGCTGTGGTAAGAATTTTCTTTCATCACCTTCTGTTCCTTCTGTTCCAAATATTTCCCTGCCCTCCTCCAGAAGGAGACCAAAGGGTCTCCTGAGACGGTTTCATGTGAGACTACATGGCCTTTCTCACTTTAAGTGACCCACATTATTCCCACTCTTCTTCCCATAATCATACTCACTGGTGCTCAATTTGGAAGTTCAAGTGCCCAGTGAACCAGTCATTGAACAAAGATTGGTTCACGTTGCATGTTGCATGGAGCTGGGAGGAAAAAAAAGACCAAAGAAATAGATGATTTAGCTTTTAATATTTTTCTGCAAGTCTGGTAATTGAACCCCAGAACAATTACCCACCCTCATCTAGCATAAAAGGCAAGTTAGACTCGGGGATTATAGCCATCATTGCCCTGAAGAATTAACAGTCTAGATTGAAACGGGTTGTTGGGATACAGGTTAATTTAGCTAGCTCTTCGCTCAGAAAGTAGAGCTTCTTCGCCCGCCTGCCCACAACCCCAGCTGTGACTTTTTTTTAAGAGGTTCTCCTCACATCTTTCATTGTGATAGAAAGAAAAGATGCTCAATAAAGAAACAAACAAAAAAAATCTTCTGGCCTCCTCAAACTAGTACAAGCGGAGTCAGATGCAAAATTATGAAGACAAACATTTGTGTACATGGGTTTCACCTCACCTAATTTAGACACCTCTAGTCTGAAATCTGCATCTGAGCTCAACACGTTAGAATCAATGGAGAAAACCAGAAAATTTTATGGTGCCATTTATCAGACCTGATTTAGATGTCTATTTTAGAGTAAGATGAATTGTTCTCTAGAAATGGCTCTTTCTCTCCAATGAATGTAGCAGGTGTTCAGATGTAGACATCCAGATTTGGTCAGGCTGGGTCTTTTTCCCTTAATATAAGGAAAAATCCTTAGAACCCACTGTGTGGGATTATCCTGCTGGAGGCAGTATAGATGTGAGTACACCTGCATTTACATATTCATTTTTATCAGACCTAAATTATGTCAGATTTGTTTCATCTGCACTAAACCTGTAACCCGTAAGGGTAAAATATAAAGGTATCCAGTCCACTTTGTGTCTCTTTGTTTGGCTTAATAAGGAGATTGACTGTTATACCATCAGTACTTTTTCATAATAGGAAGGGAAAAGTGTTGTGAAAAATATGTCAAAACCTTTCAGTGAAGAACAGGATTTGGTTTTTTAATCTAGATGTCCCATTTTTCCACTTAAAGTTTTAGATGGTTTGACTGCTACGGAAATGCATTTTTGTTTAATGAATGGCAAGGACAAACCTCATTAACACAGCATTAAAGCTAAGATAATAACAATGTTGTCTTTGTCCTGTAGCTTAGAACTGCAGTCCCATTCTTCCAGAGGAAAGGAGATTCTCACCTGAGTAGATACCCAGTCTTTGTTCTTATCATAATCAATGTCCATTGGAATGTGATTCATCTGTGACACCCAAATAAACCAGGTACTCTCTATGTACCTGGGCAGATAAACACAGAAACACTTATCATATCTCTAATCCCATCCAAATTTACCAGTAAAATACTTCTTTGAGTCTCATCTTAAGTAAAAGCACTTTTACATAATTCAGGATGTTCTATTCCACCCCTTTGCCTCCTAACGTCTAGATTTTCTTTTGAGAACCACTCCATTTGTAGCTGCAGATGTCCCTGAGCAGCCACCACCACCACCCTAAAGTTATACTGTTTCTTCTTGGCTATTTCTGAAAATAACTATAGTGAGCATGACTAGTTTTAATTTATTTCCACTGAAGCTCAATACTGTTTACAAACATTAGTCATGGGGACTCTGGGTATGCTGTGTGTTACCTGGACAGCCAGTAGTACACCATGAAGTTGTTAAATCCCATTAAAGGAATATACATGAGACAGACTCGGGTGTTGAAAGACACAACCAATAACAGGTCCTATAAAAGAACAAAACAAAACAAAACAACAATTCAAAATAAGCCTTTGTTGATGAACTCCCTCAACTCCCTCCACTACTTCCTCTCCTCTAACTGCAGCATTAAAAATGTTCTTATTTATTGATTTTGTATTTATGAAGAGTAAGCTCCACACCATCATTCTGCCTCTGCAAGTTGAGTGCATCCCTGGAATATTCCATTAGCATTCACTTTACCATCAGTAACTAAAGACAAGTTTAGGTTTCATCATTTTCTGTTAACTTTTATTCAGCTGCTAAGAGGCTAAAATACCTCTCCTAGAAAAAAATTCTCCCTGGACCCATTGAGTGCATTCCTGCTGCAGCAAGCCTGGAGTCAGCCCTTTCCATCTTAAGCCCCACAGTCCCCAAGGTGAAGGTTAATACAGCCACAGTATGGTGAAAATTTTTGAAAGCCTTCTGGACAATGCAAGTAGTGCTTACCAACCACTTTTTCCTCTTGATTGCAAAGTACAATGTAGAAAGCTGGAAGAACGGTATAAGTGCAAGTGGGGCCAATACTGAAGGGAAGAAGAGAGAGATGTTTATAACTTCCCTGCATCACAAATCTTACAGAATATCAGGGTGGGGGGGAACAGTTTCCCCCAAAGATTCTTCTTTCCAGTAGAAGAAAAATTGCTGCTTTCCATTTACACTAACTTGGATGTGTCCACATAATCTGCATCTCTTTTCATTTTAGCACCCTTCACTTATTCATTTCTTTCCCATCCCTTTCTTCCTCACACTTGATTCACCCCATTTAGTGCCTAACATCACATAATCCTGACAGAGACATACGGGCCAATTCCTCCCCACATGGATCTTCTTTAACATGAAGGAAACTTCCAGAAGCTGTGACTTCCATGAGAGTATCTTTGAAACCTTTATTCTGGGGAGGAGGTGCAGTCACAATTTTTAGGTGCAGTTACTACAGCACTGCAAGGAAGTGGGGATACTCACAGATGAAATACTTATGCTGATAATTGTAAGGCATGAACTTCTTCTTCTTTTTTCCAAGCTGAAAAATGAAAATAACGTTGTACTGGGCCAGCTGGAGACCTGAGATCCCTCATAAGGTATTTCTTATTCCTCTCTAATTCAACCCCCACTTCTTGAAAAGCAAGTACTGAAGTTCCAAAGCAATGGGGAGAAGCAGATTTCAGCTGAGCCTCTGTATCCAGACATCAGTGTTATGCCTATGTCAGAACAGAGCCGTTTTTTAAGAGAGTTCCAAAATTCATGGAAGGATACAAAAATGCTCAAAACTTGCAAAAATGCTCACAAGTCATTTGAATTTTATAGGGGAAGTTTCCAGTGATTGTAATGAAGTCCAACCTGACCAATTCCACATATTGACCATAGAGTACTGAGAATATCAGTGCTCAGGGAGGAACAGGTTATTAACATGAAAACTAAGACAGGAAACAATGGGTGATGAATGCAGGATGTGTTTGCTGCGAAAGCTACATCTAAATTACTGTATCAGATGAGGTAGGATGCAGGTATTCCAAATTTTTGAATAATAGAGGAGATAGTGGTCAGAAATTACATGACTGTAAAATAATTTCTTCAAGATCAAAGTAGTAAACACTCTATAAAACATCTGCCTTTTTGTTTTGGTGAATACTTTGCCTTCAAGTACATGAAACAGCAAAGAAATTAAATATTTACAAAAAGCACAGATAAGTAAATTTCTTCACAGTGTATTTTTTCACTATTTGCACAAAAGGATTCTTAACATCATCTGCAAATTATGATTCTTCAGAGGGCAAAATAATAAGGACATAAAGCAAACTATTTCCAGAGCTCCCCTATTGCTGAGAAAAAAACCCCTTGAACATCTCAAAGATATCTTCACTGGATCAAACCTGAAACAAAACAAATTAACTGGACCAAATGAAACACTGAAATCCATTTTGCTCATCCACAGTAAGCCTGACTCATTTCTGATGAAAAACAGGAAGACCTGAGAGCTTTCGCTTCCATCAAACCCGGTGTAGGAAAGCCAGCGCACTCTAGAAGCTCTTGAGAGCTCTTTCAGAAGATCGCTGACAAAATCCTTCCCAGCTGCAGCTAGCAGTTTCTACTAATAAGTATTTTGGATAAACTCTCTTTACAGGAGTCCTTCTGAGACAGCAGAACTGGGATACTTCACATACGTGGGAAAGCTGTAAGTGCTTACCAGCTAAAGGAGAGTGAGATGATATTTTAAGAGGCCGGTTGTCGAGTAAAGAGGCCATTTCATCACCTCATGAGTAAAGAGAATTGCCTGGGAAAGAAAAGGGACCTTGCCTATCCTGACGATATCAAAAATCATAAGGGTGCAGGGAGGGTCTGTTCATGGTTTTTATTTTTATGAAAGCTATAACATTTGTGATTAAGAAATAATTTACTACACTTGTGTTTTGTGCATAGCAGTTACACCGTTCCTGAAGGATTTAGGTGTCAAACAGCTCCTAGAGCCAAAAGAACCCAGAGGGAACATCTGACTCACTATCTACAAGATCACTAAGAATATCTAAGACTAATGTAAGTGGACTGACTCATTCTTTGGACTGCTTTCAAGGTGCTGACCCGGCCCTTCTAGCAACACAGAGAACTTAAGCACTGATTTTAAGACCTTGCTTCCCAGAAGCTGGTGCCGAAGCATCGTAATAACCAGTCAGCACATGAGACTCTTAAACCTTGGAACACCGTGGAAATTACCATGAGTTTATGCAGAAAGGCACAATCTGGGTTATGATTATACCTCACTATAGCTTTCTGTCTTTAAAATCTTTTATAGCAATATCTCTGCTTCTCCAGACATCCCCACGCTCACCTCCACGGAGAGTGTCTTTCCCAAGCTGAACAGGAGAGGGTGCATGTTGAGGTCAGGGTCTTTGCGGAAGCAGTTGGGTTTGGCATGGTGCTGGTTGTGCAGGTGATTCCACCAGCTGGCCGGTAAGCCCTGCAGGAAAAGTCGAAGACCAGGGATACAAGCTAGAACAATATCAACGATTACATCACTGTTTATCCACCTACTATTGATGGCTGCACTACGCCTCCTTCACAGGCGATATTGCCTGAAAGTAGGGACACTCCCATTTGTTGCTTAGTCCAGATGAGCCCCAGAGAATATTCCCACCGTAAGGCAATTACCTTCAGAACACTTATCACAACAATCTGCAGAAGTCGATTCCATTTAGGCTTCCTGAAGACAGAGCAGTGCCCCAGATCATGTTGGAACCAGCCCATCTGGATCTGGAAGACAAAAGGATCACTGAGGAAAAGAATCATAGTGGCATTGCATTATTTTGCCTCGGGAGTCTCTGAAGCTTCATAGTGTGAGTGCATCTTCCTTCTGGTTTGGGCAAGAAACACTACCTGCTGTCCTACGTGCGCAATGCTGAGAACTACCTCTCAGGCTACTGTTCACTAAAGCTGCTCAGTGTCAGCTACTGGTTTGATTGCAGCAGCTAAAGGGAAAGCAGCAAAGCATCATTATGATTAATTTGACTGTTACAGCATGGAAGTCTTTTGCTCCCATTGCAACCAGCTAAAAAGTGTAAGAATTTCCAAATCCGTAGCTTCATTGCATTTCATATTCCCATGGAAATACAAGAATTCTCTTTGAGGAAGATCTGTCTTAGCAGATATTAGGCAAATAGAACAGATTATTTTTAAAAAATTAGTTACTTTGCACTTGTTCCATGGATGTCTAAGCAAACCTAAGGTTTCAGCACTACAAAGAAAATCTTGCTTTCTTCCTCCCCTCACCCCCCAATTTCTCCCATCTAAAGGTCACAAAGTCCTATTCCCTCCTTCCCTACACTGACCCTGACATGTAACATGATTCAGTTTACTAATCTCCAGCAGAAAATTATTCTGGGCTAGTGAGTGTAATTGGCTAACAAAGGACTCAACAAACACCAACACCATCAGACAGCAAACAGAAAGAACGTGGAGCCAAAAGCAGAGCTGAGAATTAAATATTCCCTCTTTTGCTGGGGTAAGTGATTAGATCAGCTCATCCTGTTTTGTGAAGCTGGCAGCTCCACAACTCCCCACTGACCCTGGTGAACAGCTTGTCAGCAAAACGAGATTTGATGGAGGCAACAAAAATTGTGATGTAGAACGTGCTTGTTGTCTTCAGCCAGATAACAAGATCTAAGAAGAGTCAGTAAAGCAATGACTGGGACATGAACATTCCATTAATCCTCTCCACCTGGAAGAACAAAACATGTCTGCAGTGTTGAACAGCTGCCAGTGGTTTACCTGAGCCACGATGAAGAATGCCATGCCAACCATGAATGGCAGTAAGGATATCCCAAAGTACCAGACCATGAGCCAGGATGCAGCATCCAGTACCATGATGTGAAGGAAAATCAGGAAGAAAAAGGTGTAGTTTGGCCTCAGAAGTCCCATCTTCTCAACAGTGCAGCGCAGCTCACGAAAATCCTCTAAAAGTGATTTCTGTGGGTGAAGTGAGTGTTAATGCACTGACTACTTTGAAAATATAACATAGCAGACCCCGGAATCCCCAAAATAGCCATGGAAGTCAGAGGAGGTATTCTATCAGATGGGTCTCTGCATAAATGTGTACAAGATCAACAGATCTTGGTTTTGCTTTGAAAAACAAGTTTCTGACAGGCTCTGTTACTGACCCATGGCATTGGGGAGAACTGAGGAGAATTTGGGGCTCTGGGACTCATTCCTCACACCCAGGTGTGGATTTAGCAATTCTGGGACAGTGCATGTTTCCATGCATGACTACTGCCAGCTGCCTCCCCACCACCCAGCCTGTGGCACAGGGTCAGGCACGTTGCTTCAGAAATTATTTCTGCTAGTGCTCTATTTCCCTTCTCCTCCCATACTGAACGCCAAGCCATTGCCACAACTTGATTCTAGGATACTCACTTTTTTATTAGACTCAAAGCTGGGTTGATCTGGTGCCAACTCCCCAATCAGCAGAGATTTCAAGTATTTTTTCACCAGAGACTTATCGTTGTGAAATGCTACAAAGGCATCCTGAGAAACACATAAAGAAGAAGGTAAGAAAGGGTATGTGACTAAACACCAGATGCTGAGCCTCTCCTTTTCCCAGGTCTCTGACACAATACATAATCCAGTTTCCTTTGTCCATTTTTGTCCCTTTGGTTGCCATCAGCTGGAGCTTGGCCCAAGGAAGCTGGAGAAGTTTCAAGAAACTAATTTCATAAAAGTACCTGGGCGAGGCTGGTAATAAACATGAAAGCGTTTGATGAAAAACTCTTTGCAGGGGGTAATATGCCCTCTCTTCTGCTTATTTCAGCACAGTCCTTCTCTAGAAGGCTCCAGCCAGCAGCCCTGCCCTATGGATGGGACCCAGGAGCAGGAAAACACGTCAGTGAATGAGGTGTGTCTTTGCTATGCTTAGGATGACATTCTTAAAAACCTGTCTTTATTACACTGGGGCCATAGGAATTATGTGCTGAAGCTCCACGCACAGCAGGACTCACTGCATATCTCTTACAGTTCCTTGTAAGTTTTCAGATTGATTGATGTTTTGGGGAACTGGGTAACGTTAGTGACACAAATGGGTCTGTCCAAGAACCATCTGAACTACCAGTTCCAAAATCTAATATGAACTATGGAATAAAGGATGAACTCTAGATAAACCAAATGCCTCTTTAGCTTATGCCCTCAGTGACTTTTCCAGAAGAAAGGTAAAGAGGCTGACCATACTATTCTGTCTTCCAGAAAGAAGAGATTTAACAAAATCCTCAGTCTGAGCAGCCAGGTACCTGATGATTTTGACTCTGAAAAATCAATGTGGGTGATCATGACACAAAAAAATTCTGCACACATCTGGCCAGGATTAAGTCCCTGGAGGAGGACAGAGGACTTCCCTTGTGCAGCCTGACATTCCTCTGGAGTCTCTTGTTTAGAGACAGTCTATCTCTGAGTACTTGAGAAGCCAGAGCAAGGTGACTTTTTGGACAGATGAGCTTTCTAGAGATGTCTAGTGGCCCTTTGTCACAGTGACAAATGAGTAACTTTGTCCAGACCCACAGGACTGGGGAAATCTTTCCATTATGATTCTATGCCGCTCATCCTACAGGGTTTTTTATACATTTTTATGTAGCTCTCTCTTGCCAGGAATTCTAAAACTGAGTCAAGCTGTAAGTATCTATACTGCAGCTTGGAAACAGGAGACAGAATCCTTTTAAGAAGAATTTCCTTTCCATAACATCTGTATCACAGAGTCTTATCACAGAAATGCAAGCCTTTCAGTCCTGAAACGTGGCTTTTCTCCTCCCTGCTCTTAAGTGCTGATTATCATCTTCTGAGAGATTAGCATTAAGGACTATCATCTGCAACACACCTAACTGCCAACATATGGATCAGTGTAATGTTCTGCAATGAGTATTGTCTGTATTTACCAAGTAATCTACACAGAGGAATAAAATTCTCAGAATACATATATGTGATTACAAGCTCTAGAGGAAGATAATTCTCACCATATATATACAATTATGAGATCTACAGTAGCCAAGAGTACTTGGAAAAAAATTCTGGATCCTGTCTTTAGGCAAAGTCATGCACCAGATGATCTTTTGAGACACACCTTCCAGTCCTGCTTTTCTGTAAAAGTGTGTATTTCTCAGAATATATCAACACAGCAGCATTTTAAAAGCAAAAAGAATGATAAACGTTAGCAGAATAAAAATTGAGAGCAAGACAGAAGAATGTTGTAATGATGCAACATAAATCCACGGTGTCCCCACAATCTTGACTACTGCATGTAGTAATGGTCCTTCTGTCTTCAAAGGGATATAGTATAACGACATGTAGCAAAAAAAAAGATCGGCAGAGTTCTGGAACAGCTTTCATACTAGAAGACTCCTTTGGAAAAGAGGTAACAAGAGTTTAAAAAACCTGTAAGTTGCATTGGAGAAAATGATGGAAAATTTATTCACTGTTTTCATAACACAATAATGAAATTATCGGGCAGGAGGTTTAAAATGTACAAAAGTAATAATGAGGAGAACCAGATTGTAGTATTATCGTGATAACAAGTATAAAATCAAAGGTCATTCTTTAAACCCATTCATACCAGACAAACTCCCTGCAGTAGTTAAAAACCCTGGGTGTCTATAAAGTGTGATAACCTAAAGGCAAATCCTTACTCTGGTGGCTGCAGAAGCTGGGAGGACACAGAGCCTGGGGGCAAATCGTTCCATGCCCTCTGTATTCCTTGACTCCTTCTGTAAAAGCCCAATAATAGGAACTGGCGGAGATGCACGGGGCTGGGGGAACTCTGGGTTGGCTTGGTCTGGTGGGCAGGATTAGTCTCCCTTCTTGGATTAGCCCTTGGTAGGTGCTGCATAACGGGCACAGAACCCCCTCTTTAGATCAGGGCTGTAAATGTCAGCAGTGAGCTAGAGAAAAAAACCCAACTATTCTCAGAAGCCTTCTTTTTCTTCATTTAAGAACACAAGGTATTCCTCTGCCTCAGTTTCAAGTACGGTGAAAGGAAGGAATCAGTAAAAGATAACTGATCTGATCCATTTCGGGCCATGAGTTAGGAAGTGCTATCCCATTTTACAAGCCAAAACCTGAAGAACTAGGCAGAGCTGCTTCCTTGAAGTCAAAAAGTCTTGTCATGACAAGAATTAAATCTGGGTCTGCCACATCAAAAGTTTATGCCCTAATCCTGGTCATGTTTCTAATGTGCTTATTTCTGACTATTCAGAAATTCAGTATCTACTTTCAGCAAATAGTCTCTGAGATCGACTTAGAATTTATTATTTCTGTCAACAAGCAAGAAACTATTTTAGAGAAATCCTCTAAATCAAAGAATTTTGCAGGAATCTCTGGAAAATCTATTTTCAGATAGCGATTATTTGTAGAATTTTTCCTTATTTTCTGCAGCCAAATGTCATTCTGCTGCTTTCTCAGTCATTTTTCCTGTATTTTATTTCTTTTCCTCCCTCCTTTGAAATAGCTTTTTTTTCCTCAACTCTCTTTTCCACTTGCCTGTATAAAACAGTGTCACTTCTTTGAGTACCCCCTTCTGTTGCTTCACTGTACCCAAAATTACTTTATGTTTGGATATTACCTCCTCCTTATCTATCTTATCAATTTATCTACCCATGCTCTATCTTTGATTATCACTTGCTTATCACCGGTCACATCCATGTGACACTGAAAGAGCAGCCTTTAAAGTAAAAATGCACGCTGAGGATACTGCCTCCTACCCTCTTCCTTTTCTCACTGCCACAACAGAGACACTTTTCAAGCATCTGGAAGGCAGCTTGCCTGACCCTGCCTGGATATTCCTTCGGTTACAACAGGGTGTAGTAAACCTAAAGAGAGCTTTACAGTTTGCATATAGCAGGTAACTGACCTTGAAGGTATCCAGAAGGGTATTTTTACAGATGGCCCAGACATGTCCACTACATGGTCTGACCAAGCACAGAGCCAACCACCATGAGCACTCTCCACTGGAGTCCCACCACATCATCCTGCTCTGACAACGGAACCACTTTCCTCCACTGTCCTCCTAGAGCTTACCGTAGCATCTTGCCCAGCATAGTGGCTAATAACCCGGCTGCCTCCAGGGTGTTGTCTGGAAAACTTGCTGACATCATAAACCTTCCTGTCAATCACCAGCCACTGCTCCTGACCTTGACCGTGGCCATTGTGGATTTTGATCTCTTCCCAAGTGAGAAGCTGTAGAAAGGCTGAAACAGGCTGTGTCTCCTTTTCAGCGGAGCCAGTCTGTGGAGGCATCTGTACTGGGAGATGCTCAGTCAGCGCTGAGGTTCGCTAGTCTAAGCTTTGCAGCATCCAAGCAGAGGGTGAACCATCTCAGACTGCCTTATACAGTCACACTCCAAGCCACTCCCTGTGCTTGTAGGGCTGGTTGGCTCCCCTTGCCCAAACACACCCTTCCACAGCTCCCTCCTTTCCCACTTTCACACCAGACATGTTGACACACCCTTGAATAAAAGCCCTGTTCCTTCTTGTCCTTTTTTGAATTGCCTTTGGAGGGTCTGATTAACCCTGAGTGCTGTAGACTACTGAATACAAACATGCATGAATAGAAAACCGTAGGAAGCTTATCTGTTATTCAGTTAAACGAGATGGCAAAATGACAGAAAGGACTACTAGGTGAGCACCCTCATAGAGCATTAGGAATTGGATAAAGTAAGCTGCTAACTTGCTTCCATCCTGCTGAGTCAACATGGGCATTAGGAGGAAGAGAAATCTGAGGAAGGCTGTGGGCAGCTCTTCCACAGCAAACATTCAATGACCTTCTTAGACAACTGAAGCACTTTCAGCATCCTGTAATCCTTTAATCAGTCATTAATATCAGGAAATCCTGCACTTACCATACAGTGGGGCTTCATAAAGTCACACAGTGCCAAAATGTAAAGCTATAAACGAGCCTGTCTGGAGAGCCAAAAGCTGCTATTAAATATGTTTGCTAACATCTCTCATTCAACTGTAATTCCTGCCTTCAAGGCATGGAGCCAGCTTGTACGCTAGCACAGTGAAACCAGCAGAAGGCTCTGAGGTCTGCAATCTCTCCACAAGGTATCTCTTAACGGTCTCATCACTACCCAAAAACTTCAGGTTGTCCTTGGTCTTTGAAATTTTGCATGTTGACCCTGGCACGTTAAGTTCATGTGTCTTTCTTAACTAAAAGCATTGCTGATCAAAATACCACCAGACCAAAGAAAGAACACATTACGAAAACATTATTTATCTCCGGTTAACTCAGCTTGCACATTAACAATACTTTGTATACAGTTGTTTTCAGAGTTTTCTGTGTATACTCCAGTCATTCAGTCATCTCATTGTTCAAGCAAAATTCATTCATAAGTCACCAACAGACATTAAAAGATTTTGGGGTTAATAATAATAATAAAAATAACAACAACTGTTAACACCGTATTTGGCTGTAGATTAGGAGTTTCTAAAACTATGTTTAATGGCATTGTTTACATAGTTAACCTTACTTAAATATTAGTCTTGTAGAGCCAAAGTCTAAGTATCTCTGATGTTCAGAGAGGATCTGCTGTGCAGTAAAAGGGTAGTTCTCAACTATAATAAATAGCAAAGAGAAGGCAATGCTGGTTTCCTATGAAGTCACATCAGTTTTGCAGGCAACCCGCAGAAAACTAAGCCCACATATATGAAATATTGCTCCACTTGAGATTTAGGATTCTCTTAATTTTGTTTGGTTTTTTAAATCCAAAATTACTAGCCTTGTATGTTCTTGTTAGGTATAGTCTGTATACATGTACAGTCTGTTCTTATTAGGTTCCCATCCTACCCCTTTATAATGCAATACTGAGTTAAATCCTGCAGCATGAGTCTTCCACCTTACCCAAACATTTTATTTATATTTATAAATTTGTTATGTTTATAACTACAAATACAGCAATGTCCAGTCCTTGCCTGAAACCTAACAAGTTCTAGGTCTCAATTATCTCTTGTGACAGTGAGTTTCACAGACAGTTCACATATTGTGATTTAAAGAAAAGTGATTGCTTGTGATGAGCTCCTAATTCTGAGATGGACTGAAAAAAAGTGGAAGACTTCAGGAAGGATAATAAAGCCAAACTAATATTCTCGATCAAGGTACCTCAGCAGGGTGAGGTGAAATTATGTCTGCATTCTGTCTCCCAAGCAGCCGGCATGCAGGAAGCCCAGGCAAGAGCTGATCAAAGCCGAGATGATATGATAGACCTCTGCATCAGGAGAAAGGTACCATTTAAATTATACAGAATAACTTTATTTTGAAGAGTTTGTCCTTCAGGGACTCTGGAATAGAGTATTTGTGATATAAGTGGTCATGAAGCTTCGCAGCTTACAATTATCCTTCTTAGCAAACTCTGTTCAAGTCTCAGAACAAATGGCAAACGTGAAGTCTTGGATTTTGTCTTCCTTGTGTTTACCAGTGAATTAACAGCAGCCCAAAACCAGTTGCATAGAGGCAGCTGAAATCCCACATAGCAGACACACCTGCCTTACCCTCAGCCCTGCGTGGAGTGGGCAGTATTCCTGGCTGACACAGAACTGTTAATTATGCAATTCTAATTCTTTAAACCATGAGCATCTTGCAAATTAATCAGTCAAGCCCAAAACAGCTGTTTAAAAGTTCCTGACATGTGGCAATGGTTGAACCACCCTAGGTGAAAGAGAAATGTGACTACTGGTATTCATTAGAAGGCAGTGATAAAAGAATGGGAGGAATAATTTCTACTGTGCTGTCACATTGTATTTTGTAACCTTTTATCTCGCTCTAAATAAAAGTTAATGTTGTCCATGCTAATGACGTGTTCATGTTCTAGCATGAAATATAAATCATGTTCAGTACTTGAGGTGGTAGTAATAAAACATAGAGTGGTTGTTGCAAATGTCTGCATATGTGGGGGGTTTTATATACATGCAAAAAACCCCTCAACGATCCCAAGGGTCTTTTCCAACCTGAATGAAAATTTCAAGTTGCTCCATAGCTGGCTGAAAGTACAAAAAACTTTCCCATCGCCTTATATTCAGACTTGTAAATGTAGCAGCTACCCAAAAAGGAGTAGATAAAAATGTGGGGTTAGATTCTGGTCTACAAGAAGCTGGAGAATATAAAGCCAGGAACATACTGGAGTGAAAAAATACGGGATGCCTCTGCCTGTACACACACAGCAATCATGACTTTCACTGTCAGTATGCGCTGTGGGTGCCAGTACCCACCAAAACACAGTTGTGACTTAGACAAATAAAATTTGGGAATTCTAAGATAAGTGTCCTCCATATTAACAGTGAGCATAGTGTTTCATGTCTGACTTCATTCAGCATCAGATCCCATCCAGAGGGTCCTGTGATGCCCATCATTACATTACATTAAAAAAGCCTCAACAAGTCCTTTTGCAAGTTGAAAGCAGAAGCTGTCTCTGTCTCTATTATCCAGGTCACCAAACACATTTCAAAGTTGCATGGAACAGCCCAGACAGATAGTGAAAGCCATAGTCATGCTCACCCAGAGAAACTATTGAGAAATCCGTTAAGGCGAACGTACACCGTGCTCAGTGTTCTGCAACAACTACCCACACACCTGCCCAAACCCCGTCGTACGCGTCTGGGAGCTCTTACACTTGCACAGAGCTATTCTACATCGCTGCTTTTGTGACTAAGAGTCTCCTTGCACAGGCACTTGACACAGTTTTCCAGAGTTCCAGAAAGCCAGTACGTGACTGCTGAACTGGTAGTTATTGCAGCAACATTTTTATCCTGTATCACGTAAATGTTTGCAGTTTACGCTTAATCCATTGCACATAAACTGGCACGGCACAGAGTAATCCAGAAAAAAAAAAACAAAAACAAACTAGTACCAAGAACACACTGAAGCATCTTGCTTCTAAGAAAATCTCTTTTTCCAGAGAAATCCTCTGAGTAATTTTGTCATACAGGATGCCATCTATGCTTCTTTCAACCAGCTTTTCTACAGAAACTCAATTTTTCATGGAGCCCGTCACACGTACTGTGAGAACACCTACCAGGGGAGGCTCCTGGGCAAGACTGGATGAAGAACATCTACTTTAAGAGCTGTACAGTCTGTTAAAAAGCCCCTCTCTCCAGCTCATGGGTAGCATTATATATTGTTACACAGAAGAAAAAATACACAGCATGATTTGAGGTAGCATTGTTAAATGCCTGTAACAAACTCATTTTGTTTTCCCGCTGTCATATATTCGGAGCTTTTTTTTTTTTCAGACTAGTCAGCATTTCTGCAGCATTTTCTGTGTTCAGTGAGGAGCACCCACTGATCACCGACACACCTCTGAATGCTTTGGCTATCTGAAATTGTGCATCCACAAAAGAAAAACTGCAGAAGATGACCATGCTTGAAAGTTGTTTTAATAAATGACTTGTCCAACACCAATTAGGAACTACGTGACATAAAGAAGGAATAAACCACCCATGGTGGTTCCACAGACCACGCACAGAGCTTCCTTCTGTCCTTCCTGTGGGTCTTGGGTCACCTTCTGAGTCCTGCAACAACTTGCCTCCTGCACTGTTTGACCATAATTCGATTCTCTGGCCTTCACCATCTGCCTCCAACACCGTCCTTCCTCAGACACATATTGCAGTGCATATTCTTAGCAGGACAACATACACATTTTCACTCAGAGATGTGCATCAACCTTAAACTTCGATATCCTACCCTCTCCACAAGGTCAGTCATATTTTCCATTTATATGAACAAGCTTTAGCTACTTGCTTTAATTTCTTTTGCAAATTTTAATATTCTTTAGCAATTCCTACTTGCACTTTCATGACCTTTTCCCTATTCTTTGCATTCCCAATCTACCTCACAGGTAGTTCCTTATCAATCCGAAATGCTCTCCTGAGTTTGTTTCTCCCCCCCTTGCTAGGGACATAAGTCCCTAAGTTTTTATACTCCAAGACATCTCCACGCTCATGTCAGAGGTCCTTACTCTAGCTGACTGTAATGATTAGTTTAATTCATTTTTCAAACTTTGCTCTTAAATAAAAGCAGCCACGGCTCCAGTCCAGCGTAGCTAAGCTGGGGCACATAGCTCTGATGTAGGTGCACATATACTCCTACCTGCCAGTTATCTCTGGTGACAGATCATAACTTTTAGCCACAAGCTACTCAACAACTTCAGTCAAAAATTGGAATGTCTAGATCCATTTCTAGACATTCCATGGTACATAACAAACGTACCATGGAAAAAGGACAGAGGTCTAGCATGTTCAGGACCCAGGGACCCTAGACTGCAGCAACACATTACTGCTTGGTATTTTTCTGATGCCTTTGTTTTGTTTTTAAATTTTTTTGGTAAGAACTATCATCATCCAATGAGGGCAATCAGCTGCACCTCTCTGAAAACAAGGAAAGCATGAAGAAATGCTTTCAGGTGCAGGTGAGCAGTGTATTTATATGTCTAAGAGGGCTGACATATAGCTCAGCACAGGTCAAGGGCTGCCTGCAAGAAGACTCCAGCTGCAGTTTGGTTCTAAGAACAAGAGCACAGGCCCTTCTTTGTTAAAAATACAAGAATACTTAAGGAATTGCCAATGTAGAGTGCTTTCATCTGATTCTTGCATGGCCTCGCGGGTCTCCAGCATCAAGCTAGTCTTGATAGTGGCTCACTTCAAGAGACAAAGGATACTCCAGATCCGTACGTGAACATCTGGTTGATAAAGGAAAATGGTCAAGCAGCAGAAAAATGTTCAACCATCAGGCAAATACCTACAATCGTTGTAAGTAACCTTGTAACTCTCCAGTTTGTAGTTAATGCATTGAAGTTGCACGCCATTCCTGTCCTGTTTCTAGAGCTCTTTGTGTTTGTTCCTGAGTTCTTGTTGACTATAGCTCTTTGTTGAGACAGTTTTTAGGCAATGTCAATTTGATTACAGTTCTGGACATGTCTCCAAAAGCTATGGTGAAATTCTCTTTAAATTTTGAAAACCATACGGCATCCTACCTCTGTGTGATGCTTCCTCCTAGACTGGGCATCAGGACCTTTCATATCTGGGCAATCAAATGTGTT